CCAAGCATGGAGGACCCACTCCCCCTTGATTTTCGGTGCATTGGCAAATTGTGAACGTGTTAACATAGTCGAGTGGATCATCGTCTCGCACATAGAAGGTATCCTATTCCCAGCAATCATTCCCGTTCGGTATACGCAGGCGGTGCATTGTGTACGCCATTCCCCGGAGAATAGATACCAAGAACGTTCACAGGAATCACTTATGCTTCTCGCTGATTCCGTGATGAGCAGCTGTAGGAAAATCTTTCGGAGAAGTGGCCTTCAAGCAGCCCTCGGAACATGCTGTGGGAACCAGAGTAACTCGCTCGTGAGTCATTTGCCGCACCGCCGGGGCCGTTGAAGGTACATCGCAGGCTCTCCGTAGTTCAAATACCCCTGCACACCGGGAGGTCACCTCATCGTCTTGTGCTCGACATGTCCTCCAATACTACCGCAGCGGGGGGCTCCTTTAACTCGTACCACCACCAGCGACAACTTTCCCACGGTCGTCAGCCAATAGGAGCGGGCTACGCCGTGCGGGCAGTTCTCCCTCTGGGCGACACACTAGCTTATATCAAACACTACGCAATTACCAATAACAGAATGCCTCCAGAACCGGTCAGACGGGGTGGGACGGCATCGCCACAAGTCACTTCGCGGTCGAAGAAGACGTCGGCGCCAGCATCGACGGGCGTACCGCCCGCAAGACAGATGCGGCCCCCAACCGAGGACACGTTTACGGCAGCGTATGGGAAGATCAAGACGATAGAAGACGCATTGAGAGTGCTGCGCAAGAATGAGATGGTGCCTGCTGCAGGAGATCCTACCGCCGAAGGGCTGATTACAGGACTTCTACATGTTGGGGTAGCCTTAGTGGGCAAGAATGAGTGGGCGGCGGAATGCTGCATTGGGCTGGCGGTTTACGCGAAAACGGTTATAGAGGGCGCGGTGAGTGATTCCTTAACGGATGCTGTACTCACCAGTTTCGAAGCACAGGCTACCACTTTAATCAGTGGTCTGGAAGAACGAGTAGCCGCGGCAGGGGACCGCATTACAGAGCTCACGAGCAAGTTAGAAGGGACTGGGGAATCTCTGAAGGAACAGGTAGCTGCAGCAGTAGAAGACCTGCGCAGTGGGGATCGCGCCGGCATGGCACCCGGTGAGTCGCTCCCACACCCCACCCCCCTCTTGTATGCGGACGCTGTGCGCGCTTCCCTCCCTGGCACTGCGAGAGCCGCGCAACTGAGTGTCGTAGACCGCGAGGGCATTCGCGCGCGACAGATACTGGTCGATGGGTTCCCGTTGGGAGGAGGCGATGCCCCATCGGAGGTCACCATCCTCGCGAAGGCGAACGAGGCGCTGGATTTTCTACCGCGGGAAGTGCTAGACATCCCGGAGGGCCTTCGCTTCACAGCGGCGAAGACCCTCCGGAATGGAGGGGTAGTATTAGAGATGGCATCTGCGGAGCTGGTCAAATGGCTGGTAGCTCATGCCCAACGATTCGAAGCGGTGCTGAGCGAGCAAGCGAAAATTCGCCCACGGCAGTACAAGCTAGTAGCAGAATTCACGCCGGTCGGTTTCGACCCCTCCCGGGAGGAGGTATGGCGACGTACGGAAGAGGACTTGGGTCTGGATGAAGGAGCGATTCTAGAGGCACGTTGGATCAAACCGGTTCACAGGCGGTACCGAGAACAGCGCTTTGCTCATCTTCTGGTCACGGTCTCCTCCCCAGAGGCAGCCAATAAGATTATAAGGGCAGGCCTGATATTAGCTGGCCGCCATGTAAGCGTGAGGAAGAACCTCGCAGAACCAATGCGGTGCGCAAAGTGCCATCGTTATGACGCCGGGCATCTAGCAAAGGAATGCCCCCAGATGTACGATACATGCGGCACATGCGGACGAGCGCATAAGACGGCAGACTGTACGATGAAAGACCCACAACAGCACCATTGTGTCAACTGCAACGAGAAGGGGCATGCGGTCTGGGATCGAGACTGCCCGGTCTTCCTAGACCACCTGAGCAGAGCGGACGCACGTCATCCCGAAAACAGTCTGCAATTCTTCCCCACAGCAGACCCCGACTTGTGGGTCCCCAAGGTGAACAGCAGGACACCGTCAATCACGCGAGGGCAGCTGAGCGAGTTTGTTGTGGACGCGATTGACAAAGGTCCAAGTGCGCTGACACAGCGCGCTAGGGTACAGAAACACCAAGCCCGCATGACGCAGACCCAGCTCCCTTTCGCATCGCAGAGATCCAATGGATCAGGCACAGATGCATGAGTTGCCCAGCAACACGTCGCAGACGAACACCTCTACTACTAACACACTCCTCAGAATTTGGCAGCAGAACGTCAACAAGTCGCTTCTGGCGCAACTAGATCTTTTGCACTCAGCATCGCCGGATGACTTCGACATCTTAGCAATCCAGGAACCGTACATCGACCACCTCAAGCTCACGCGCGCAAACCCACGATGGACGGTGGTATACCCAACTGGCCACCACGACCAAGCAGACAGAACGCGCTCAGTCCTCCTCATCAACACCCGCATCTCATCCAACGCATGGTGCCCGATTGCAGTCCCATCACCGGACGTCTCTGCAGTCACGGTCAGCTCGTGTGGCCGCAACATTCACATCTTCAACCTCTACGTGGACGGCGAACACGACCGGGCATTGCATGCGACAGCCAGAGCCACGAGGCGACTACTACCCAGCGACACCGAGGAGGAGCGACCGACCTCTAACTCCCTCCTTTGGCTAGGCGACTTTAACCGTCACAACCCACTCTGGGATGAGGCACGCAACCATCACCTCTTCACCCCGGAAGGCCTCGACCGTTCGCAACGCCTCCTCAATCACATAGCCTCGTTCGGACTGGAAATGGCACTCCCAGCCGGCATTCCGACACTCGAAGCTACCCGCACCAAAAACCTCACGCGCCCGGACAACGTCTTTTGCTCTAGTGACCTTATCGAATCCCTCAGATCCTGCAAGACAGCGCCTCACCTACGCCCTACCAGGACTGACCACTTCCCCATACATACGATCCTCGATCTCCCGCTGGCTAACTCGGCCCTGCCACCGCGCCGTAATTTTAGAGACGTGGACTGGGCGGCATTCGATACTGCCCTCCGTGCTGCACTGCAGGACAATGAACCACCAAAGGAGATCCGGACAAAGGACGACTTCGATCGCACGCTCTCTGCACTAATGAAGGCCATCAACAGCGCAGTCGAGAAAGAGGTTCCCTACACTCGACCGTCGCCCTTCTCAAAGCGGTGGTGGTCCAAGGATCTCGCTGCCATGCGCAAGACCAAGCAGCGACTCGGCCGAATAGCCTACAAGCACCGAGGCGACCCTCAACACCCTACACACAGGGAGTACCACCAATACCGCAATCGCTACGCAGAGCACATCGACGCTGCAAAGAAGGACTGCTGGACCTCCTGGTTGGACTCTGTGAACGTTCACTCCATATGGGCGGCGCATCGATTTACCAAGAAGGGAGCATCAGACGGTGGTAGCACACGTATTCCCCCCCTCAAAGCTATGGGCAGCGACCGGGTATTGATAGACAATGCCGCCAAATGTCAAGAGTTTCGAAAGGCGTTCTTCCTACCTCCTGGCCCCGCCCCTATACTGGATGCTGATCACTGCTACCCCGAACCTAAGTATCGCTTTACAGGAATCTCAGACGAACAGGTCGAGCGTGCAATCCGCTCCCTGCGCGCATTCAAGGCACCCGGCCCGGATGGCATACCAAATGAGGTATACACTCACTGCGAGGTCACACTAACCCCGATTCTTGGCAGGCTCTTTAGGGCGACCTTCTACCTCAAGTACTACCCAGACTCTTGGAAGGCATCCGATACGGTAGTTTTGCGCAAACCAGGCAAAACCGACTACACCACCGCTAAGTCCTATCGCCCTATTGCTCTCCTTAATTGCATTTCAAAGATTCTATCGCGCTGTGTTGCTGACATACTCATGTACGAAGCCGAAACCCACTCTATGCTCGCCAACTACCAATTTGGAGGTCGCGCCGGTCGCACGACGACGGACTCCATCCACCTGGTCACGAAGACAGTCAAAGACGCCTGGCGCAGAGGCAAAGTCGTCTCCATCCTTTTCTTAGACATCAAATCCGCCTTCCCGGCCGCCACACCAGAACAACTTTTCCACGACATGCGGAAACGCGGAGTACCGGAAGAGATAGTGGATTGGTTGCGTGAGAAGCTTCGGGGTCGACGCACCCACCTCAAGTTTGACGACTACACCTCGGACCCCATTGACATTCTGAGCGGCATTGACCAGGGCTGCCCACTCTCGGTTATCCTCTACAGTTTTTACAATTCTGATCTAATCGACAGTGCTAACAGGAAGGGAGGAGAGTTCGCTGTGGGATCTATGGATGACGTTGCGCTGATGGCGATAGGGTACACGCTCGACGAGACACACAGGAAGCTGACCGACTTCTTTATAAGGCCACAGGGAGCGAACGAGTGGTCCCGTACACATAACTTAAGATTCTCTCTCGACAAATTCGGCCTCCTCAATGCTTCACGCGCTCTCAAAAACTCGTTAGGCCCGGCACTCCAACTAGGCAGTACCCTCATCAAGCCCTCCGATCACCACCGCTTCCTCGGTTTTCTAATGGATTACCGACTCCGATATCACCAACACGTTGCGCATGCACTCGGCAAAGGAATGGTCTGGGTAGCGACCCTACGCAGGCTCGCCAGGTCTCAGTACGGCCTCACACCAGAGCTGGTCCGACGTCTCTATCTTGCAGTAGCAGTTCCCAGTATGCTATATGCGGTCGACACCTTCATCACTCCGATCCGGACGCACCCGGGTCAGAAGCGTCGCAGCGGCTCAGTCGGTGCGGTAAACAAACTAGCCCGTGTACAACGGGAAGCTCTGCTCCTGATAACAGGAGCTATGAGAACCACAGCTACTGATGTGATGGCCGTGCACGCTGACCTATTACCCTTTCACAGTCTAGTAGACAAGCTCTGCCAGAGAGCGACTATTCGCATGTGCACCCTCCCAAGCACGCATCCACTATCACCGCATGTCAAACGCGCTGCAGCCCGCTATGTCCAACAACACCGCTCGCAACTGCATGAACTCCTCCACCTGTACGCCGACTCAGACATCCCACAGCACATGGAGAAGGTCCAGGCCGTCAGGCACCACCCTGCATGGACCCCGGCACATCGGGTCCACATCGCAAGTTCAAAAGACGAAGCCATGGACGATGACGAAGAATGGGCGCGACAACACAAGATACTAGTATACACGGACGGTTCGCAGAAGCGAGGCAAGGTCGGTGCATCGGCCGTGCTATTGAGGGCGGGGTCTTCCCGTACCAAGACCCTCTACTATCACCTCGGGTCCGACAAGCACCACGGGATATACGAGGCGGAGATTATAGGCTCTATTTTAGGTACACAGCTGCTACGGAAGGAACGCCAAGCCGTGCACAACCCCTCAGTTGCACTCGACAATAAGTCCTCAATAGAGGCATCAACACAGCTACGTCCGAGACCCAGCCACTACCTCACTGACTACTTCCACCACAGGGTCCAAGAGCTGTTTGACAAGGGTAAGGTCGCCCCACGCACCGCGTTCACCCTACGGTGGGTCCCAGGGCATACTGGAATAGAGGGGAATGAGCTGGCGGACGTGGCGGCGAAGCGCGCAGCCAAAGGAAAGTCAAGTGCACCCAAATCCCTCCCCTCCCTCCTCCGCAAACCACTCCCTGTGAGTGCGACCAAGGTGAAGCAGGCACACCTAGAAGCCCTCGTCGAGCAAAGCGCGAAGCAATGGAAGGCGTCCAAACGCGGCCGCAAGCTGCATCTCATCGACCAGTCGCTCCCCTCCCCCGCCTATATGAAGAAGATAAGAGCCCTGTCTCGGAGACAGGCCGCGACGCTCTTCCAACTCCGTACCGGACACGCTCCCCTCAACGACCACCTGTACCGAATCGCACGGGTCGACTCGAAACGCTGCCCGGCATGCGACCTAGCTCCAGAGACGGTGATACACTTCCTGCTGCAATGCCCTGCCTATGCTTCAGTACGCTCGCAACACCTGTCACGCCTCGGACGTCGTGGCCATGCACTATCCTTCCTCCTCAATGCACCATCAGCAATCCACCCGCTGCTCAAGTTTGTCAGTGCAACACGACGCCTGCAACACACCTTCGGCAATGTAGCACCCAAAACGACGGCAAGACGCCAAGCATAACAACATGGAAGACGCAACCCTAAGACACCTCTCCCGCCTTCTACTCGCACGGTATACAACACGCTGACCCCTTTGCACTATTGTTGCAGGACGACACCATCATGCATACCTATACCCTACTCTACTATACATAGTCTGCTAACTTAGAGCTGTCCCCAAGGCATGTAACCTACGCGCTCTCGTAGATCCCACTGGAAATGTGCGCTGCGGGCGCCCGCCCGCTCTAGGGGCGGGGGAGTTCTGACGGATGGCGGGGATACCGCCAGACGTACACCTGACCGGCGCAAGAGGCGAGACCCAGGGACGCAATCGTACCCAAAGGCCGCAGGTTTATAGCCCGTTCCCTTGCCTTAAATGGCCGGGACTGGGTGGACATCCGCAACGCACCTTTCCTGAGCCCTGCCCCCTTCCACACCACTTGCGTACTCGAACGTCTCACTCTCGCCCCTGTCCGTACTCTGACACGTCCCCTTGCACCATCCCTGTTGAACTTGGACTTATCCGGTCCGGACTACACGAGGCTATGCGTCTCCTAGCGCTTAGCTGTAGTCGCTTATGTAGTATGTTACCATATTTGGGACTCTCTGCTCGTGTACTATAGCTATGCTTCCGGACTCTTCTGGTACTGTCTAGGACAATCCGTACTACTCCAGAACGGTCTAGACAGGTTTATGCCTTACTCATCTCTTACTCATCCTATGGTGCGATACGTCGTAATTCTTTCACCATCGTATTATTCATCGCACTATGGTAC